CTCATAAACTAAGATCTTACAAGTTGTTCTAAAATTTCTAATTTCTATTTTAAATTATCTTGAATTTGGTTGATTTGTTCTATTTGTTTAGCTATTTGATTTATCTGATTATGGATTTTTTCAATTAATTGTTTAAATTCTAACTCTATTTGTTTTGAGCTGCTAGTATTTATAGCTAAAATTAAAGTTTCTATTTCTAGCTTTGTGGGAAATTTTTCTAAATTTATATCTGTTCGTTTTTGTAAAATTGAACTACACTGGTATTGGATATAATCTAATTTTTTTATCTTGATCTTTAATTATACTACGATTATTATGGAGATGATCTATGGAGGAAATAAAAAGATTACTAATTTTATCTATGTCCTTTTTAATATTTTCTGCAAAATTAATCTGATAATCTATGATGTTATTTAACTGAGGATTATGTTCACTATGAAGCTGATGTGTACAAGTATTTTCGAAATTACAACGAAATTTATTTTTATCTGTAATGCCCTCAAAATAACAACATTAAACCCATCAAATAAGACATGCATTGACATATAAACTAACCACATTCCTTTATTCCTTAGAGTTCCATTACATAAGTATTACATGTTAACATCATAACAAAATGCCCTACGGGCTTACAGCTTTCCAAGTTAACACTTGGTTACAACAAAAGAGTACTAACTCGTTTACACATTAAGCCCTTGGCTTGAAGTTACATGTAATACATCAAAAGTAAATGGTTGCCAATATATCACAGTTCTAGGAGTTGATTTTATGTCAGAAAATGTGCGGGCAATCCTTGATCAAGCTGGCTTCTTAGAGGTAGTCTTTTCCTCTTCTTTTCGTGTATTCTTATTTCATCACTTTGTCAGTTACAAATCCAATTCTAAAAGTTAACAGAGTAAAAAGTGCTACTTGGTCAACAAATATTTTAATTGAAGCATAGATTTCATATTTCAAGAACTAATAAATTAACATAATTAAAACATGAAAACCAAAATCCCATAAAATGCATGCATTGAAAACTATTAATGTGAGGTAATTAGTTTTCTATCTCTATGTATATATAATGACTATTTTAATATAATACCTTTGTTCATATAATGAGAAGGGTAAAATTGTTTTTTTAAGACTTTACATTTTTCAGGAATGTTCTGTCACTTGGTTTGTTGCACGAGGAGCAATTAACAAATAGCATTCACACAATCAGTTGGTGTGGAATCCACTTCAATGATTATATAATGGATATTTTATTTAATAGCATCGGTACCCAATTTGTATACATATCATCGGTACCCAATTTCTTGCTCACTGTAAAACTAATGAGTGTTTTTTTGAGGGGTATAAATATGTACTCTATTCTCTGTTAGTTGCAATATTGATCTTTTGCCAATACTTAACATGTGAAATTCAACGGTGCAATACTTAATTGTTGTGGTGCTATCAGATTGGTGGAGAAAGCTTGAGAATTTATAAGCGTGAGATTCAAGAAAATGTTTTGGAAATTGTTGGCATTTCCCCTGAGCAGGTGAGGAGACACTTAACAAATACTGGTTGGGTTGCTCAATTATTAATTACTAGGGCCGTGTTTTATCTCCTACGTTGTAAATTATTTTTATATTCCCATCTAATGCATTATGTAAGTACCAAATTGGAGAAAGTATCCTCTTGTATGTAGATCTTTTGAATTACCTGATATTAATATTATCATGGTTTTCATACTTCTATGGGCCAAAATTTTCATTGTACTACTAACAATCATCAATATATTTTCATGCATTGACCAATTCTTCAAGATATTAGATCACTGTGGTGTGCACACTACATTGAATTGAAACACATGTGATGTTGGCACTTTGGAAAATAGTTCCTGGCAAGTTTTGGGTAGATCACTGTGGTTTGCACACTACTTTCTGATTTTTATTTTCCAAAGCGCCAACATCACATCACATGTGTT